CATGGCTTCATGAAGAAATTAATGTACGTAATGCATGATCATGTAAAGATGACATGACTTCATGAAGAAATTAATGTACGTAATGCATGATCATGTAAAGATGCCATGACTTCATGAAGAAATTAATGTACGTAATGCATGATCATGTAAAGATGCCATGGCTTCATGAAGAAATTATTTAGACTTGTTTTGATTAGAAAAGTGATTAGCTAAAATGTTTGCTTATGTAAGTTTTGTTCTGCTCAAGTCAAACATAGTGTAGCTAAAAGTTCAAGATGAAATCGGGATGCGTTGAGAGCAATAAAATACTGTTTTGTTTTGGTGAATGTTTTTGTATGTTTTCCAAAAATCGAAAACAATTGAAATTCTTGAAAATGCGTCGAGTTAAGTTAAAGGAAGTAGTCTTTCGTCTTTTGTTCCGTAGGCAATTTCGTCTTTATGAAAATTGGACTTCATGTTTACATTCCAAAACGGTTGAAAATTTTCCGAAATGAATGCACTCTCATTTATTCCAATTCAATTATCAGTAACCTCATCAAACTTTTCTCACCAATCACAATCGTGCGCATGCACTTCGTAGCACAATCGCTAAAGGAGACCTGGGTCTGAGTTGCTATGACAAATAATTAGTTTTAGCAAAAAAGCGCAGAAAACCTTTCGATTCATAGCGAAAAAATGCTACACTCGTATTACTCATAAGAAAGCTATTGACCCAAGAAGAAAAAAAAACAAAAACACACGAAAAAAATGTTTTTATTTACTGTAAAGAAAAAACACACAATTAGCTATAACATAATTCATTACAAAGTGATATAATTGCGACAAAAACTTCAGAAAACTTTATAAAAATGTTTAACTTGTTGCGTTATAGCTACTCACCCAAAAAGAGCATATTTAGCAATTAAACTTTACAAGATACTACAAAAATGATTGGTACTTACTTCGTCTGAATTTTTTTCAGAAAGATCAACTTTTGATGTCTTCTCCGCGATCGTGACGCTGAACATTTTGGATTCGGAGTTCGAGACGCAGTTTTTTCTGCGTTCTCGTTTGCTTTTTTTATCCTTTCCGAAGCAGCAAGAGAAACAGTTACCCATTTTCTCGTTGCTACTTAACTGCAATGAAAATATCTCTCTTTCGAAATTGCTTTGAAAATATGTAGAACCTTGCGATGCGAGCTATTGCTGCGAAATGAACAAATTAACATTGCGTGTTTATTCTGACGATAGTAATTGGCTCCGTGAGCATTGTTACGTCACTAATTGGTTCCGTGCGCTTTGTTACACCATTAATTCTAAAGAGCCCGGTGCATGCTGGTCGTGCCTTGGGAACTCTAGCACAACCTGTGACGTTAAATCATGGCAAACACACTGAAGTGGATCCTAGTGTTGTATAGCTGGCTGTTCTCTAGACAGTTATTGAGGTCGTATATGGCATTGTATTGAAATTAGGTATAGTAGTTCTCCTAATAATTAAACTTCAGCAGAACAAGCGAGTAAATTTGAAACACTGACTACGGAGCCTGTTCAAAAGAGGACGGAGGAGAATAAGATGAGAAAATGTATGTGTATGTGGGACGCTGAATTCTCCTCCCTCCCCGAATCAATTGCTTGTCTATGGAAAAGTGTAAAGCAGAGGCATGTCTGCTATGTTATGCAGGCTGCGAACCGTGACTGAAAAAAGCCAAAAAAACTTAATTGATGTTAGGACAGTGAACACTTATTTTTTGCGTGAATTAAGTGTTTTTATTATGTTAGTATTGACTCAAAAAATTTCTTCGTAATATGATTGGCTGATGTCTCGTAAGGTTGCAGTATTTAACAAATGGAAACACAAAGGAAAATTCATCATTTATATTTTCAGTAAATCTGTGCTCTTCAATATGGCGAACCGCTGTGGCCAAATATTCATTCGAAATGTGTTATTTTTTTCATTATTTTGTCATAGTTTCTCAAGCATATACGGTTTGGAACTTGCAAGCTCGAATGGATATGTGAGAAGAGAACATTCACTTTCGAAACCATTTCAAGGTGCTGCATTTTAAAAACTATTTTTCTTCGGTCGAACCGGCTGCTCGTGCTCGGCGCCCCGACGGACTTTTGAGCCTTCAAAATTTGACGGAAATCAAATTTGGATCGCTCTCAAAACATGCACTTTTTTGTATATGCGCCTTCTTGACACTTCTTAAGCGTTGCTGCTGGTTATTTTTTTAATTTATGTAGAAATAAATTGACATTGATGAAAATCTACAATTGATTTGCTAACTCAGCATGTTCAGAATTAATCAATAGTAGTATTTCAAAGTTTTCCAACATGTAAGATGTGGCGTTTTTGTCATAGTCCTTAGAGCTTACAGCAGTTTTTATTTAGTTGGTAGCACTAGCCTGCAATTTTGGGATTTTGGTGGTGACACATTGATAACCAGTAATCATATCCGATTGACCGAGGATCATCAAAGTCAAAAAGGGTTTATTTGGAACACATTGGTCAGTGGTAATAAAATAAGATTTGTTTTATGTCCGAGTAGTGAATTAACATGAAAACTTCTTTTACCATACAGCCTGTAACAGCTCGCGATTGGGAAATCCATATCCATTTTTCAGTTCATGGTTCTGGAGATTCACTTTATGGAGATGGCTTTGCGTTCCATTATGCTAAAGAGAAAATGGAATTCGGTAATAAATTGAGTTTATTTAGTAAATTTCATTAAATCTATGGATGTGGAAAGTTCATATGATAAATTTATGCACAAATGTTATTTGTATTGTTTAGGTCCAGTCTTTGGAAGCAAAAATTTCTTCTCAGGACTTGCTGTTTTCTTTGACACTTATAGTAATGCAAATGGTGATAACGCTGTAAGATTGATATCCATTGAAGTTTTCTTCAAAGCAAACCACATTTCAGCAATGATTTTTCTTCTTGATATAGGCAGACCACCCTTATATATCAGCTATGGTAAACAATGGTACCTTAAACTACGACCATAATCGTGATGGTGCTTATTCACAAATACAGGGCTGCTCGGTTTGTATTTTACCTCTTGTATAACTGTTTTCATGATTTCAAGCGCTCATTGAATATCTTCATGGTCCAATTTTGACAGTTCAGATATTTTCTTAGGCTTCTTTTCGCAATAATGGAGCGGAAACATATGCTTTGATTCAGTACTTGGGTAGCAAAGAAACTTTAACAGTTATGACAGACATTGATAGTGATGGTGAATGGAAAGCATGTCTTCAGGTCTCTGGTATACGACTTCCGACTTCATATTTCATTGGTCTTAGCGCTGCTACTGGCAATTTGGCAGGTGGGTCACTGTAAAATGGCTTATGAATTTCTCAGGAGCAAAAAAGATATTGATAAAATACAAGAAAAGTCGTTCTTCTGAACTGTGTTATGGTAAAGTTGTGTCGGCCAAGCATTTCTTTGTTTCCCTGAAAAGATTGAGTAAATAGGATTTTGGTAGTTTTTTTGCTTTCAAACGTAACACATTGCTGACAAAGACATTAAAGAACGAGTATAACAGTAATGCCTTGCGCGCTTAGCGAGCCATAGCCATTTTAGGGACATCCAATGATGGCGTCATTTTAGGTTGTTAGTTCCACAAAATGTCTACTTTCCCTGCCAAATCTGGTCTATTAACGCTAAAGCGTGGTAGGGCATGAAATGAAGACGAAATAGCAAGAGTAAAGTTTGGAGAAAGACGTTATTTTAAGTTCAGTTATTCAGTTGAACTATCTGCATCATATATCAGAAGTTTAATTCCAGTAGTAAACACAGGCGTGCTGTAATATTCATTCTTTGGATGTCGCGTTACCTGTTAAGATCATCTTTGAAAACGTCGTTTTATCGTGGTACTAATCATAATTCCTGCACAACAGATAATCACGACATCGTCGGTTTGAAATTCTACGAGTTGGAAGTTGAGAAAGATGAACAAACAGTTAGAAGTACAGAAAACACCGATGACATTGTCCCATTTGTAAAAGCGGAACCTGTTAAAGGTCAGTAAGTTCAATACATATCATGGCTCATACATACTAGGGCACGATTTTGTTTTGCATACCTTGTACAATATCATGACTCATCATACCAGCGACGTTGACATTTAAAATTTTTTTCTTCCAGAGCCTGTCGAGAATTCCCCGAAAGGACACTATACACGGCGAATGACGAAAGCGTTCACGTGGTTTTCTGGATTTTGGTGGTCGGTGTCATTGTTTGTGTGGTCGGATTTTTGTATACAAGAAGCAACAGGAGGCTGCACGCAAACGATTTTTTTAACGAAATGAACAAATATCGCTTCTGCATCGCTAAAAATTTGTAATCTTTACACAAAATGCCTCAAGACAGATGGCGGCATGTCTATTTTACCAGAATGCATTTCAATCTTCACACAAAACGGATGAATGTGTGTTTGTGCGTGTGTAATCTCGAAACGACGTCTGTTCAACAATATGTACGTCAAATCGAATTTGGAGTATTCATAACTTATTGGAAAATACTCATCCGTCATCTCCAGTTATTGGAAAAATACTCATCCGTCATCTCCAGTTATTGGAAAAATTCTCATCCGCCATCTGCAGTTAATTTCACAATCGAGAAGTTACAAATTGTTGCGTTTGAATTGCCACATTGTTTGAGGCAACAACACACTCACCGCCTGTTGTAGCTCTATAAATAATTCAAAATAAATTATCGCGGGAATGCGGGCTCAAACAGGTCGTTGAAAGACTAATCACTCGAACTTTTTTTTTCATTGGCAAAGTAATTCAACCATAGTTAACTGGAAGAAACAAGGCGCCGCCGCGCAATGCATAACGGTATCAATTTACTGGTTAACGTATATGTTTACTGTGCTCACTATTTTAGCTACTTTTTCTATCATTCAATAATCTGTGTATACATCACAAATCCGGACGCTAGCAAATATCCAAATTACATTTGGATAAAAATATTTCGGATTTTCTTTATTTGAAAATTAGACGAAGACATAATTAATTAATTGAAGACATCGTTACAAGTAAAATACGTGTTTTTTTAAACAAAGGATAGAACGCTTCGTCTATCCATGTAAGTTAAATAATATCAGCCTGTCAGCCTCTGTAATACATCGTGCTAAGGTTCATTTTACAGACAAGAACTCCTACACTGCAGCTATATGATTAGCTGCAAGCAAGTCTTGACACAAAATAAGGTGAGTTGAATGATGGCGAGCCCTTAGGGCCACCGCCATCACCAATCGTCATTAAAATTACCTAAAATTTCATACAATCAAAGTGCATCTATCGCAGCCTTGAATTACCCACACATACCTGTCAATACGATAACATACATAAGTTACTATTTACCTATAAAATCGATAGTTTCTAGAAATCTGCTCTTTTCATTGGTCGAGATGTGTCGAATTGATCGAGAGGGACAAGTGGATTTACTTCACTATATCTTGTCGACTTGGTTAACCTACGAGGTGATGAGTCATCGTCTGCGAAACTCCTTTGAGTGACAAGCGGTTTCATGTTGGGCGCTTTCATTGTCCAGTTGACCTGAAAAAGAACTACGTTTTAGAGATCGTCAAACGTGACCTTGTCATATACGTCACTATTTGCTCTTTTTCTTCAATCCAATTGGTCATTCCAATTGACAAGATACTTGCAGTCAAGCAACTATGCCCCAGCAATCACAAATAGCTACACATGTAATGATCATCGTTGGTAGTAATCTATACACATCTATCATCGACAAAACCTTAATGTAACACAACCTAAAGTTTGATGGGCGAATATAATATTTACTCATGAATAAAACACGATATTTAAGAAATAAAAGATGTTTACTGTGTTTGCACAGGCTTATGCAAACCGAGGAGATCTTCGGAAGAACTCGAAAGCAGATCAGTGCAAGCCCGAGACCGAAGGTTGAGGGTTGCACATGCTCGAGGTTTGCATAAGCCTGTGTAAACACGAAAAACATCTTTTATTTCTTTAAAAATAAAATGCAAAAAGACAAACATTTTAATTTTTCTTCTAAAATGTATTCATGCTCAATTTGCAAATTCTCTATGACTGATTGATTGTTATGATTGGTTGAGCTCAGTTGTGTTTTGCAAAGGCCAATGCAAACACAGCTCTAGACCAATCAGCGCACACGTTTCATTGTGTTTAATTTATAATATGATTTAATAACTTACCACTGATCTGTTAGAACCTCGAAACTAGAAACGGAATAATGGCAAATCTTAATAATTATGAAATTCAACGTTGAGTCAAATCACTTGTTTATTGCTCACTTACCTTAGTAGAAGCGACATAAGAAGCTTTGACTGTTAGTATAACAGCATTCATCAAGTTTTCGCAGCTGTTATAAGAGAAGTTGCACTTTCCAACTGATAAAGAGAAAAGGAAACTTTAAATCATGGTCTCGAAGTTAGCTAGTATATTAATTAAGCAAAGGAGACACAATTAGCTCCGCATATTTCATTTCAAGTTGGACGCTATGGCAACTACCGCTAAAGTGGTCAATTTATTTCGAAAAAGAAAGTCACAAATATCTCCGCTGGCAACGGACTTACCGCTGACACAACAACGGACTTACCGCTGACACAACTTCGACGCCACTGATTGTCTGGATATCAGCTTTCACTCGACTGGTGATGGTGAGTTGATGTGAAAAAAGAGAGACGCGTTGAATGTATGCGAGAAGATCGTTCTTCGATTGAGAATGAGGACACTAAAGTCAGGAAAAGAAAGATAATGTTAACATTGTACGTGGTATCTAGTGGCTGCAAAACTTGGATGCAACACGAGTGCGAAAATCAAATACATGCAATAGAGAGCAATAAAAAGTACGGCCCTTGGGGCCGGTTGCAGGAAGCCTGGATAGCGTTATCCATTGGGCAGCAATTTTTTTAAACTTTTATAAAACCATAACGCAAAAAATATAAGATTCGAATTGAGCAATCACTGAAATAAAATATTTTTTCGAAGATAACGAATATTCTTTGTCGTAAGTAAAATACAAACACCTTTTTTGGAAAATTTTTGCTATCCAATGGATAACGCTATCCAGGCTTCGTGCAACCGGTCTCTGCAATATAATATTTACAAGAAACTCAAGCTTTCATTTTGTTTTTTTAGAAAGACAATCTCTTTCGTTTGCTTAAATATCCAGATTAGACAATTGGCAAACGCAAAGGGTAACATTGACATTGTCTAAAGGACAGATTTTATCTTCCACTGGATACCATCGCAAGAACATCCTATCTTGTTGAGACATAAATGTAATTTTCTCACAATAATTAAGTTTAAAATAAACTGAAAGAATTTGCCCGGGCATTAGAGACGTACAATGCTCACATAATGAAGCATTTCAGGCGGCAAAAATTTGCCCTTGTTGTTCGCTATTATGTTTGCTCAACAAATAAATCACAAGCACCTTTTCAGCAACTTCTGTTGATAATTGATTTATTCTTTCGCCAGCTTTTGCAATACGCTACAACCAAACGCAAACAAAAAAATATCAGAATCACCCACAAGAGGAATAATTAACATAAATTTTCTACATATTGTAAGCCGGCACTTTGAAGTCATGCCCATTGAACTAAAATACATGCTTTCCATGTATTTTAGTTCAATGGTCATCCACGATAGAAATGGCCAGAATTATTACATTGACGTCACATTATATTGTGACTATTTTTTTTAAATTTTCTCTTGTGCTGTGTTGTACATTGACATATATATAAGGCAGATTTTTCTCTACTTTTTTTTAGAATATCAATCACAAGTCGGAGTTCATCTGCTTCAGAATCGACACTCACCTTTGCCGCAGTTATAACGTCCATGGTTGTCTTCAATGTTCCAGTACCTCTGTTAATATAAAAAAACAAACAGCGTTTGTTTGATCTCAGATGACATAAGGAAAGTCGTGATTAACCAACGTACTAAAGTAAATGGTTTGAACCCAGGAGTATCGTTACAGGTTTGTAAATGTAGATCGTCCAGGTTGGTATAGTCTTGAGAAGGACTGTTTTTGTTGTTGTTGACTGACGTTTCGACAACCTTAGCGGTAGTCATCTTCAGAGTCAACAACGAAAACAGTCCTTCTCAGGACTATACCAACCTGGACATCAAACATGTAATCAACGAAAGTCCGACATATCCATCATCATCACACACATCTTCTTAGCCAAAACAACAATCTCGTTGCCAGATTCATCCCACTGTGACAACATATTTTCGAACCTCGATTTCTCTGAACGCAGCTCGGTTGACAGTTGTTCAATTTTCGCCTTATCTTCGGCGGGCATCGCTTTCATTTTTGCCTAGTTTTATGAAAAAAAAGATCGAAAAACTGACCCAATCACAAAGCACAACGCAATGCATCATGGTATATGGCTAAGCTATACGTATGTAAGTAGATATTAAAATGGAAATACGTAGATCGATACGCACCGCGCCATCTTACAACTGTCTCAATTTCATTAAGGTGTTGGCAGGTTTAATTTAAGAGGGCACCCCCACCAATACAGTCTGCCATAACGGGAAATTTTTATCAGAGAAAAGGACATGAAAATATTATTTAGTAATGATTAATATAAAGCATACTTACCCTGTCACTCATTTCCGCGAAACTCGTTCCAGTTTCTTCATCATCGCTATCATTTTCAGGTTCAGGTTCGGGTTCGGCTGCGAGTTCGAAACCGTCGACGGCGACAAGCGAAGGCGGACGAACTAAAAGTAACAGGAAACGTGTTGAAACGTGCTGCACACGCATTTCGGAGAATCTCTGCAAAGCTCTTCATTAATAGTGATGCAAAATTCGTTAAACAAAATACCTGGTTCTTCCTCGACTGCCTTCACGGTAGCGGGTAAAGAAACAAAGTCGGATAATACTGAGGGTCCTTCGTATCGAGGCTTCGATTCCTGTGTGACCCAATCTACTGCATCTGGTCCCGTGTATCCCATAAATACCCAAGAGCCACCTGGTCCAGGATTTGCATTACCAGTAGCACCGATACGACCAAGCGAATCCTTTGCTTCATTAACACTAACACCTGTAAATGAGCTTTGATCGTAAATCTGGATTTGACATTGATATAATTTAATCCGGAGTTTATCTAAACTATGAATGTTTTATGCAGTGCGGTGTTTGAAACAGAGGTCATGGGTTCGAATCCCGTTGAGTCACCTGATTTTTTCAGGTTTATGAGACAATTGCTTAAAAATTGTCCAATAAAGTGCGAAGATCATATCTTCATCTAATTTATCCAAACTCTTGCATTCATATAATTGTTATTTAGTATAGACGTGTGCTCTCTTCTAGCTAACAATAGGGAGTTTTAGCAGAGCCTACGAGTACGACTACGAGTACGATTTACGTCATTTTGGCGCGAAAACATTGTTGCGACAACAAAAACACGTAGCCGTCATCAATCTGAGTACGATGTTTTGTAAAAAATTCGTAATCGCGACTACGATGTCTTTTTAAGCAAAGAAAGTAGGTATATGTCTTCATTCTGTAAGAAATTAGTTTACAGTACTATTTTCGAGCATCCAGGCTTTAATTTAGAACCCTTTTTGAGCGCAGATGTTTATTAAAAAGGAAAATATGACCTGCAAAACTTTCTTGTATTTCGTACGCAAAGTGAAAGGTAAACAAACAATAAAATAGTACAAATATATCGTACATAAAACTTAAAATAGTGAAGATTTTTCAGTCTAAAGAGTCCTATATTCTTGTAAAACCAGTATTATCGATTCTTTGATATCATTATTGAAAAATAGAGCCGTAGCTGCTTCGCAAACGTCGGTGTTATACACAATAAAAAGGCTCGTTCTATTGTTTACAACTAAAGCAAATATTAACGATATTCGATAATAACGATATTAACGATATTAACGATATTTCGTTCGATATTAACGATATTACTGCACTTTCTAGAGTTCATTCATAAGATATCGAAGTTTTTTGAATAAGTCCGACTCATACAACTCGTGAAGTCATTCTGCATAATAAATCGACGCACACTTTCAAACATCCGCCAGTTTCCTTGCAAACTTTTGGTTGATACGATTGGGCAGTTTTCATGCGATCAATTCTTCACAACGAAGGGAACTCCGCTCCACTGACGTAACAAATCAGCAAATATACCTCAAAATTTCAAATTTTCATGATGCAATGTGACGTCACAAATTTTGCAAAGCGTACATTAACGACACAAACTACAATATCTTGAGAACGAAGTGTCATACGAATAAACGGTTTTAGAAGAAACGCTATCTATTTGAACGTTATGTTCAATGAAAATATAATCTAAATAGCACAACTTTCGTGTCGTGTGCACTTTAAACGCCTTAAACATGTAGCAAGATGTAACAACATGAAGTTCGGTGAAAAATTTGGTGAACACTTCACCAGACCAGACATGATGTTTACTTACAAGTTGCGATGCCTGAACAACAGCTTCCCCGTCAATTTTCTCGCGAGGATTTCGGTTCAAAGTTTCCACAGTTGAATCGACGACGTCGGAAAATCTTGGAATAACTGTAGAAGTTATAAATGTAAGCAATAATTAGTTTTAAATTCTTTTTAATAGTTGGTACAGACCTTGTGATCATTACAAAAAACAGACGATAGAGCGATTTAACAACTAACTTATCAACTGCACACTCGCAATCCAATTCATGATTTGGAATAAAAACGATTCCAACGGATATTATATAGTTGTACTGAAAGATGAAACTTTGCTATTTGAATGTATTCGTTCAACTCCAATTAGAAAAACAAACAGAAGTGTTAAGTTATGAACGCGCTTTGTTTTGTGCTAATTAGCGGAAATGCAACTTGTGCAGACAATTATCTGTTCATTTAGCCATTTGTAATCAAAGAGTCAAAAACTCGAACCTATCGATTTCATATCTCGCCAGAGCTACACATATCCCAGCAGAGCTACACATATCCCACCAGAGCTACACATATCCCACCAGAGCTACACATATCCCACCAGAGTTACACATATCCAACCAGAGCTACACATACCCCACCAGAGCTACACACATCCCACCAGAGCTACACATATCCCACCAGAGCTACACATATCCAACCAGAGCTACACATATCCAACCAGAGCTACACATATCCCACCAGAGCTACACATATTCCACCAGAGCTACACATGTCCATTGAGTTCTATAATAACTGGAGCGGCTATCTCAAGCGCGGCCTTAGATATCTGATGACGCCAAAAAAATGGCGGATTTCGTCCGTTGCCGCTGAGATTTACCGAAATTGACCGCTTTTCCGAAAATTTAACAATTTCCCACTCCCTCCTGAGGAAAGAGTGAAGAAAATGTATGTGTGTATTTGGGATTTGGCAAGCAATTTTTTGATGGAAATCAAGGTAAAAACCTTAAATTTCATAACAGCGAGTCAACTGTGGTTGTCAGTTATGTGCTCCTACAAGGATGCATTTATAACTATCGACGAAAGACCTATATGTCGGCTACACATGTATGAATGCAGATGTGCGTCGTTTTCTTACCAGCGTCAAACTTGTTTGATCGATTAAACTCTTTAGTCTATACAAAAAAGTATATCACAGTTCATCTCCACGGTTCACGAGGGAGAAGTTAGCTTATTTTTTATCATTGCTATTTTGCTTCTTTTCATGCAATTGGCAATGGCTTTTTTCGCCACAATTGTTGGATTTTTACTTGTTTCTTTAAAAAAGTAAATATTAAATCAATGGATATTTACGGATTTTCTGTAATTGAGTTTCATATGAAATTTCAAAAAGACTCAAGTCTGCATAGCTTTGGTAAATGAAAACAAACAATATTGTATAGAAATTACTTTAAGTAACCTTTTTGTGATGTTCTGAAGTGCAACTGCATCAAATACTTGTAAAGTTGTAGCACATGATTTTGTTGTATTGATATATGAATTGGGCAAAATGCAAATAATCATCAAAACACTTATGCTTCCAATGGTGTTTATAATTCATTTGTAGTTTTAATACTTCTACCCTTCTTTTTCACTTTGTTTTGTTTTTCCTATATTTTCAATATAAGTACACAATTTGAATGATTAACACAGTTTTCACCTCAATAATAAATTTCATAAGCAGTTGGTAGTGCATTTTTTTCTCTGAGTATCCACATCTGGTGTTTTGTTCATACAAGAATGATGAAGTGCAAGTAGATATGTCATAGCAAGGCAATATAACCAAATGAATCAAATACCTATAGTGTACTTTTATGCTAGAAGCTTAAAAGCTTTTTAGAAATTATAAAGTTATTGGATTATATTAACCATATATCATCAATCTCATGAAAAGAAATAAGAAGCAAAAAATAGGAAAGCTTTGAAAAGTGCAAAACTTTTCTTTAAAAAAGTAGCAATAATGCATATGATAAATTTCCATTCTGTACTTTACTAGGTAAATAAGCTCAAACTGTTTCTTAAAGCAAAAACTGTTATAATGAAGAAATATACAGTACAGTAACTTTAAAGGTTTCATCACTGAATATTTAATGCTTCAGTATAGTGCATTAGATATTAGTAACATTTATACAACACTCAACTAAAATATTTTGATAAAGATATGACATGATTTAAACATTAAGTTATGTAAAACCCAATGGCTTATACAGTTTGATGCTTCACATCTGCATCAAGTCATCATTAATCTCAGTACAAATGTTTACATAGACGCAAACTTTATGGCTTTCCCATTTTAAATGTTTGTGAATTGACAATTCATTAAGCATCAAAACACACACAACCTAATTGCCATCTTTCTTTGGTTTATGAACTTTAACTTCAAAGCATTCAAGGCATCCTTAGTGAATCCATTGTCTCCATCCATAGAATTTGACCATGATCAAATTAAATAACTCTGGATAGGGCAGACAATAAATCAATTATCTTTACAGCATTATCATTTTTTTAAGACTCTGCCTGGTCAATAACATCTTCCAGTCATCTTTACTCCTTGGTCTTCCCTGCATGTTGTCAGCAAATAGAACATAACAAGCTCTGCTCCAAATCATGGGTACTCTTGGGGCTGATCATTTCGTTTTGATACTTACTCACAGAGCAAAATGTGTGCAGGGTCTTTTTTGCTTTAGGGAAACTATTTTGCAAATAGATGGGTAAATTTACGACTTCATGCATAAAAAAATGACAGAAAATTATGCAGAATTTTATAAACAAAAACAGGAAAACATCAGTATATTTGGCGTTCAAGTCAGTCTTAAAAAATACGATCTTTAATATGTATTTTTATGGCTTTTCAAGTGCATGTATAATTGCTTTTCAATCGTTGACGGACTAACAAATCAAACAACTACCTCACCTGTGAGAAGCGATATGTACCTTTTTGTGGAAACTACGACATCCAACAATTGAACGATTGAAGTGTTGGCATTATAAAAGGAATGCCAAAAAAAATATCGTCACAGAATATGGAACTAACGATATCCATATTCTGTGATATCGTGTTTGTTTTTGAAAAATTTTTTATAATTTACTATGGACACCAGGGGGAGGTCGAGAATATTATTTTTCTGCAAAGCGATCATTTCAGCGGAAATACGTCCGTTGGCCGCCATTTTTTTGGCGACCTCGCCCCAGTAAAGATAGCCGCTCCAGTTATTATAGAACTCAATGAGACGGCAGCGTGACATTCATGATAAATCCAAGATGGCGCGGGAACCGGGCAAAAAACTTAGGGCCACTATTAGGCAATTGTTGTTTTTTGCAGTTTACTTCGTTTCAGTGTTTTCAAACTCCTCCAATCAAGTTTTATTGGAAACAAAGCGTTATTAATAATGTTTTGAAGCCATATTGGACAATTGTTATTGGAATACGGGCGAAAATATCGCTTGCGAAGTGTTGTGTAAATTGGTCGTTTGGTTGTCTCGAGCCGTTTGTCTACCAAAATAAACGGATTTTGTTTGCTTTAGCTCCCATACTGGTTCGTCCACGTTGAAATACATCATATTGAATACATACAAAAAGATGGGAAAATTAATCTTCATATTTTTTACATAAATTTCACTTCAAGATGCTACTCGTTCTTTCAATCTTCAAATGTGTGTTGACACTTAACAGACAGAGTCTTAATCATTTCCAAAAAGGATGACTTTTGTCAGCTTTTGCCGCTTAGATGGAGCTCCTTTACGAACGATTCTCTCGGAGTACACTTTGGAAAACTGGTGTAGAAATATTTTACTGTACATGTATGCTATTTTTCTGATGAGGATGGTGATATGGTCATCGCAAAAGCTCTCATCTAGTGCACGAGTTTCCTTAGAATGCTGCAATAGCGATTGAAATGCATTTGGCTTAGTTTCTTGCAGGACATCTCGTTGCATAACTTGGATTGTTTTTTCTGACAACTAACTCCACTTGTTGACCATTTTGCAAAGGGCTTTATCTGCTGCTTTTACTACTTTTACCAATGAGGATGGACTTGTAAGCTTGCCATAGGTCTTGAAAGATGTTAAGCTTGACTTTAATGAACCTTCATGACAGTATGAGTGGTCAGGTATGAGAGGTTGGTCATCATTCTCTATGGTTAAGGCAGTTGCACATTCAGCACACTTGATGCAACTTGTAATTTTCTTGGCTATGTGTCCACTGATATATGTCAGTACATCATCATGCCAAAGAGTGGAACTGTTTAATAATGCTGCAACTCTCCTATCAACATTTTGTGTCTCTTCAGCTAGCTTGCTTTCACTTACAACAGAGCAGTTGGCAGTTGCTGGAGCTGTCACTTCATTCTTTTGTATCAGTGCTCAGAGTGCCCACTTAAACTGTAGAGCATTTGGATTGTTATTCCATCCTATACGACTGCTTATGGGATGAAATAACAATCTTGTGGTTTATGAGCATGACTCAACAAACAAAGAAACTACTTTTTGACAATTTCAATTTAAGACAACAGTGATGCTTAGTGAGACCAAAAGATAATATGTAAATTCCTGCATTTTTTTACG